GGGGGGGGGGGGGGGGGGGGGGGGGGGGGGGGTAGGAGATTATGTCTTGTCAGAGCTAGCGGGGGCTTGGACTACAAGCACTCGGCCCATATGTGTGGAGCGTGTGGCTGAGCATGCATGCAGGGATGGAGGGCCCGGGATGCACGTATTAAGAAACGATTAGTGGAGATTAAAGCTCTGCCCTCAGAGCCTGCTTGCACGACTTTGGGCAACAAGAATGAGAAGCCCCTCCCTCCTCAGCCTGCAGCTCCCCCTGTGGAGCTGCGCCACCGAGGCCATGGCTGGAGTCTCATCCACCGGCCGGGGAGGATCGATGCTCCTGCCTTCCTCTTACTCCTCCTAAATACCATCTTTTTCTACCAATGGATTGGGAGGCTGTCTACATGTCCAATCAGATTCAAACTTGATGGAACCTCAAAGAGTAGCACTGCCTCTTCATATGACAGCAATATTTAAAATGTATTAATCAAACTGAATAACCAACATGGAAATGGATGAAACGGGCCGTTTTATAACTCCTGTAGCTTCAGTTTTCATCCTCCAGTTAAAATGTGTGAGTGAATGTTTAAATGATGCAGAAAAGGAGGGAGAGGCCTAACTAGCTTTAAGTGAAGGACTTTTTTTTTTCTTCCCCAAGAGCACATTCTAATGAGGCCTATAATCTACGGGGGCAGTTTGCATGTGTGCTCACACTTGCAAACCTTACACAGACGGGCAGTAAGTACTGGTTTCTCAGAGCCACTCCAGCGACTCGCTCCTTCAGTGTAAAATGATAGAGTGCATGAAACAAAGAAGGAAGAGAGGATCTTTTCATCATTTTGAATGCAACCTGGTTTGGCTTTAATCTGGAGGAAGAGCGGGATATACACTATGACGCCTGATAGATTAAGGCCTGAACGCTTTTCTCTCTGTTCTGCTCTGCAACAGAAGGGCCCTGCTAGCAAATCCCAGGCTTTAAAGCAGAGGAGGTTCAGGCAGCTTATGATGTAATCAAGGCCCTGTCTGTCACTGCAGGAAGGGTGGGGGTGGAGTGGGGCTGAGTGTGGAGGTTACAGGGTTTTATGGCAAGCATACCATTATGAGTGAACTACAGATGATGCCTGTGACGGTGCTGAAAAGAGGAAAACAACAGTTCAGGAGGTTTGATGATTAAAATCTTAAATGTGTAGTCTTGGAGGGGTGGGATACGCAAATGAACTGAACATGCCACAAAATGATGAGGGTATTAAGGGGGTATTAATGCTCATATTTCCGGCTGTGCTGCTGACGGAAGATGCAAGTCACGGAAACAAAGTCCCATCAAGCAGCTTTTATATTTTGTTGTCCACTCAAATATAACAAACGTTTTATTGTTGGCCTTTAATTTAAGAAGATAATGTAGAAATTTTTTGTCATAAGTGTATTTTGGCACAAGCTCTTGATGCTTGGTCAGCTTTTAAAAGGTTATGAAACCATCTTATATTTGGACAACATTGATTCACAATCACTTCTGCTGTTAGACTATTTGAGTGAGGTCTGTATTTTCCAAGAACTCAGAATCAGAATCTGAAATACTTTAATAATCCCAGAGGGAAATTATTTATTTATTTATTAATTATGATTCTGATTCTGATCTATCTGTGTATGACCGTCAATGGGGGCTGTTCAGAGCTGTGAGGCAGAGTTATAATGACCATGAAGACAATTAAAGAAACAAAAAACCCTTTTTTTCTATAGTTTCCCCATTATAGGCAGACGTATGTAAAGAAAACATCAGAACTGGAACACTGAACCCGACGCACTGGTTAAATGGTAATCAGCAGCAATTTTACTTGACTTTTTATTTTTCAAAGATACAAGTCTGGTAAGAGCTGAACTGACTGTTACAGCTGCGTCAGAGTAAGACGGTTCCCACCGGGCACTCGTGCCCTGTGGCATCACAAATATCGCTGCTCCAGTCCAGAGTGATGTGAAACACCAAGTCTTATGTGACATATAAAGGAGTTCCTGTTTTAAAAAAAAAAAAAAAAAAAACATACTACAGTGTGCTCCTCCAATTCATGCACTATAAATAAAATCTTTCAGACAAAAAAACGCTTCAAGAAACCCATTCTGCAACCCGACAGTAAACAATACATCGATGAATATCCTGAGTCTTAGCAAATTTTGGCATGAACTACAGTAGAAAAGGGAAAAGCACGCAATAGGATGATATTCCAACATAATGTTTCCTCCACCAAAGTGAGAGAATGTGTGGGAGTGTGTACAGCGCAGCTGCTGTTCCGTACGGGAGGAGAGGCAGACCAGGGGCTTTTAGTCGTGATAAAAGAGATCGAACATGGATGATTTATGACTATGGCACCGTATTTCAAACTGTAATTCACAGGTGCCGCGGTGGCTGTCCCCCATTTTATTTTTTGGTTAATCTTTGTTTTTAGAAAGGGTAAGATGTAGAGAAATAAATAGTAAATATTCAAAATCAGATCTTAAAAAAAATTTAAGTGGAGGGGGGGGGGGGGTTTACAACAACAAAAACAATATCTTTACATAGTAAACACAATGCGTTGATCACTCACTTTTACTTTCCCTACAGATGTACATTTAAAAATATATTCGACATTGTACACAATGTGGTGTCTTGGAAAAAGGAGAGAAACAAATCTCCAATGTGGTTATTCAGTGCTTTCTGCTCCTTCCCAGGTCCATAGTGTCACTGCTCCAGGGTCACAACCTCCACGGCCTGGCCGTCCAGCGTGACTGTGTTGTCTATTCGTGTGGCCACAGGTGCCATGGCGACCTGGACGGGCCGGTTCCCCTGGGAGAGGCTGGTCACTACGGTCTGGTACATGCTGACCGGGATCTGGACCAGACCTGAAGAACAGACACAAAAACCCATGTCAGCACTTAACTTTCATGGTTTCTTTTCATTTGGATCTTCAGTTATTCGTAGCTCGTTTTACACCATTCTGAAAAGGCTGGCAAAGTTCTCGTAGTTGCAAGGAGGCAGCCATGTTGCAGGGAGGGCATTTCTGAACAATGGTCTGATTGAAGGTCCTCAGATCCCCCCCCCCAACCCCAGCTGTGTTTGTGCCTGTGGGGATTACTACCGCAGTCACGTGGGCCTCGGCCCCACCCTGCAAGCTGTCACTGTGTCACCGGCGGGCAAGAAGGTCAGTGCAGGAGAGGGCTCCTGTTACTGCCCGCTCACATATCGGAAAATGGAAAAAATACATTCACATTAACCATGAATTATTCCAATTTCAGAGATGGAATGGCTGGGATTATCCTTCATCTTCTCCGATCCTGCCGGCGGAGCGAGCTTGTAATTCCCATCTTTCTTTGTGACACGGTTAAGTTTGCTGCCATTGAAGATAATTTGTATGGAAGTGATTACGAAGGAAGGCTTAGGGAGTGAGGCTTTGGCCTGACCCAGTGACGTACAGACACAGCACAGCGGCTAACTCGAGTGCCTCAACTGTCCACTTAAATAAACACCAACACTCTGACATTAAGGCTCACGTTTGTGTATGTGTGCGGCTTTGCGTGTCTGCTGGTGGACTGCCAGGACACAAGCCAATCAGCTACGGGCCAGTGCACCGCTCTCATACAGTAGCTCCAGAGTGATTAGCTGAGGTCAATAGTTTGGCTTTAGTGGCTCCAGAAGTTGTTAAAGAGATCTAATGCAGGCAAAAGGTCCCAAACCACTAAAATGTCAAAGGTGCTGAATGTGACCATTTGCGCGTCCATTTGGGAATATTTTGTGTTATACAAACTTCCAGTTTTTCTCCAAAAGTATTTCTTAGTTAAAGGCTCTAAAATCTAAAAGGCTCTAAAATATCAGTGAGGTTGTAATACAGGTTATAGAGATGTCTTTAAAAAAAAAAAAAGAGTATCAAGAGGAGATGGGGACACTACCCATTTCCCATAACTGCTTTATCCCGTTAGTTTTGGGTTGTGGGGAGCTAGTTTATCCAGCTGTTTTAGGCCAGAGGCTGGACGCATGCTGCTAATCCATCATAGGCCAGAGATTCATATTGCCCAAATTTGAAGGGGAAATATTCCTCTGATGGGTGGAGATTAGGGGTGGGACGGTTCACAAAATCCACGGTTCGGTTCGTTTCACGGTTTTGTGGTCACGGTTTTCGGTTCGGTTCGGTACATGGTGATTGTTAGGAAAATCTATTATGTCTTGTATAGTCAGGTTAAAACTAGGGATGGGGATCGTTAATATTTATTGATATCGATACTTTTATCGATACTCCTTATCGATCCGAGTCTTTATCGATACCACTATCGATAATTTTCTGTTATTTGGTGGAAAGACGATGCGACAATATTTAACAAATAAATAATTGTATTTTAAATTAAATGTAATTTTTAATAAATGTTGGCATCAGTAGTTTAATTATATATTCTAAAATAATTAGAGCAATATACAACTGTATTACTCATGTTTCTCGCCAAAAACTCAATTTCCCTTTTCTTTACCTTACACTTGAACGCATCATGATAACCTAATTGTCGTTTTACTGAGCCAATCTGAACACATCATCACGCAGCACGTCTGAAACTTTATTTACTTTTCAAGCTAACTAGCTTGTATGCTGCCGATTACAACACAGATTTCACAATTACTATTGTAATAATAAAAAAACGACCAGACTCGATAGTGGTATCGATAAGCCCAAACGTTATTGATTTTCGGGTTTTGAAAAAAGTGGAACCGCGTCCTTGATAGAACCGGGTTTCGATCCCCATCCCTAGTTAAAACTGAAAGAAAAAAGCAGTCTGACATTTGATACATTATTGTGACAGTCTTAGGTTAAAAATAGGCGAGATTCTGGCATTGCAAGCGAGGAAATAGTGCTAATTCCAACATGTGCTTCCCTCTAAATGCAAAGAGGTCTATACAGCAGACCTAGAAACTGCTGTTGGCGCGTCTGATTTTTATCGGCTACGCTGCTTCTTCTTCTTCTGGTTTCCTACTGGTGGTTGGCTTTGGGCGCAGTAGCGCCCCCTTCTGCTCTGGAGTGTAAACGCTTCCCTCTGAGAAAAAGGAGCAGTGCATGAACCGTGCGGTACACACGCGAACCGAACCGAGACAGTCGAACCGAACGGTTCAGACGGTTTTCAGAAACCGTCCCATCCCTAGTGGAGATGTGTGTCTAAACACAACGTCCACTGAGGGACAGGAGAACTTGTGTGTGTGTGTGTGTGTGTGTTGACAGCTGGTCCAGTGATTAGACCATGGACTGATAATGGAGTGGATCAAGCTGTTTTGGAGGGCCCTGAGGGACAGGCCCATGCCCCTGGACTAGTGTAGTTTGTGTATGGAGCTGATTAGTTGACACTGCAAAGAAGGAAAAGACTGACAGCTTGGAAAATGTGTGTGTCGAGCGGTCTATACGTGGTTTCCTGTTGTGAAATGGTGGCAGATCAGTTCATGAGGATGCCCCATCAGGGCATATAGTACGCATTTATGGAAGGTCAAGCATAAAAAACATCTTATTAAAAGAATGGAGTGTTGCTGTAAGACACAAGGTAACAAAGAAAAACCATCTGTCACTACGGCAGAGTAGATTACTCAAGGGGGGCTCAGAAGCTTCACCACACTGCTACTGCTAAGGAAGCTTACACCTGATAGGGCTAATTGGAAATGCCACAAAAAGTTAGCTTAGATATGATGGCAAACAAGCTACTTCAAAGTCCTCTGTTGAACACTTAATTAATTAATTTATTCAGCAGTGATGCTGAATCGTTACACACTGCGATATATTTATGCATTTTCACACATATGACGCTATATTTGCAGGTTGTATTTGTGTTGGCATGGTGTACATATTGTGTACCTGTGGCATCTTGAACCCCTGTTAGAGCCCCCACCGCGGCGGCCGTCTCCGCCAGGACAATCTGCCCCCCTCCTTGAAGAGTGGCCTCGGCCAGCGTGGCCACAGCGTGAGCAGCCGCCTCACTGTAACACACACCCTCGAGTTAAAATACAGACAAAAACAAGACGATGGACAGACAGAGCGCATCCACGTACAGTTTTTCTGCTACAGAAAGCTCTCTCATACATAAACAGTCTGTTCTCCACGGCAAAGGTTATTAGAGAGATGTGGGGTGAAGAGGCAGCAGTGTATGAGCTGTAAGAGGCTTTTCTTGTCTGGACTTACAGGGAATCTGTCACATCTCCCCAAAGGCCAGGTGTTATGGGTCTAACAAAGCAGTTTGATTAACCAGATCTACCCAGTGGAATTACCACCAGCTTATTACCACTGCAGCTTCATTATGAACTCATGGAGGTGTTCACAGAACGCCTGATCATCATATCTGAGATAGAAGTGCAGATCTGACAGAGGGGAGGGGGGACTGGAAGAGGTTTGGATACATTTTGGAATTCATCATACAGGCTGACTTGAAAAGTTGTCACTATTACACCAGAAATGATCCTGAGAGCCAGTATTTCCTTTTGAAAGTGGAAAACAGACTAAATGTTCCAGAGAAGGAGAGTAGTTCAGCTGGAGTAAACAGCAGCGGGGGAGGGCAGAGGAAGCCAGACTCAGGTGGGTGTAGGTAACAAGCCCCGATGGGACATACCCATACACACACGGTATGGTTGCCATGGCAGTATGCACCGACAACCCAGCAAACACCTTTATGCCCTGATGAGGCTAGCTGATGAATTCAGCAGTTTAAATACCCTGCAGGAATACCTAACAAGTTAAAAAAAAAAACAACCACGTTGATTAGTAAGCTCAAATGTGAGCTCCATGATGTCTGACCTGCTTTATTTGTGGGGCTTAATCACGTTCCGATGTAAATTGACCCTGGTAGAGCTCAGATATAGAAGTACATGACTCCTAGTCATGCTCAGAGAATAGATTCTAACTTCTTTATGATCCCCGTAAAGCATCGATTCAATGCTGCTGCACCTGGACAGGCTGAGCTAATTAATTTGCAGCTTGTTGGGTCCAGAGGTGGTTGACTTGTCACCGGGGGACGCAGTGACCTGTCACAATTGTTCACCCGCCCCGTCTGTACAGCTGTTACAGCTGTTACAGCTGCACTTTTGGGATCTTTCTACACTCTTTAGGTTTTAGCTCCACGAAAAAATCTTTGGAATTTACATGGCGCCCGCATCCTCCCATAAAAGCTCTTGGTTTAGTTTGCTGACATAATTTAATTTTGAGAACGTAAGAGTATGTTCAAAATGACAAGTTATATATATATTAAAAAAAAATATATATATATAGAGAGAGAACCCCGTTACAAAACAAACTCCTCAACTGAGTGCAGAGTGAGATCCTTTGTCCTCCCAGATTCACCTGTTCAGAGCCATGGTGACGGTGGTCCCGGGCTGCATCTCCTGGCTGGCCGCGACCGCAGCCTCGGCCAGGGACGCCACGGCCTGGGTGGCCTCTGATGCTTGAGTTGTTTGGATTGTCATCTCTCCACCCTGGAGGGTGGCCCAGTTCTGCTCCACCTGAGCCCCCCAAAAAAGGAAAGTTTTAGAGTTTTACAAACTATTTGAGCAACTACTCCTTTTGTCAAAAACTGTTGCTCCTCGTGTGTGTGTGTAAAGATTTTACGTCAATGAAAAATCCAACGACATGAGTTATTTAGCCACATCTTTGGAGGCCGGGCTGATTTACCTCTCCGTCAGTAACAGTTGAGTAGTTGACCTGTGCCACGGTCACGCCGGGCAGCTCTGACGCGTCGGCCAGCGTGGCAACCGTGTGCCCCGTGCCGACCTGCGAGAACACACCAAAGGTCAGCCACCTGTGAGGTGGACACCATGTGGGGGGCGGGCCTACGTCCGGCAAATGAGACGCACCTGGATGAGCGAGACTGTTCCATCTGGGTTGTTGATGGTCTGTACGACCGTCTGCGAGGGAACCAGGTGAGCTATGCTCTGCGCGGTGGTCAAGTGGTGCTGGGTGGTGGTCGTTGTGGTTACCTGCTGGTCCTCAAAAGCGTACAACAAGTCTTCGCGACCATGCTGCTTATAGCAGTTCTTCACAATGGTGCGCAGCGCCTGCGTCCAAGAGACCTGAGAAATCAACAGACAGGTTGTTTTGATCGTATTATCTTCCTGAGGACAAAACAAAGCACGGAAAGCTTTTGGTCAAGGGGTTTAACATTCACTTTCCCCCACAGTCGTTTTAGTAGCATGTAATTGGAAGCCAGTGCCTCTCTTACTCTCTGTTTCTGTTCCTCCGTGCGGACATCACTGCGGACGTTGGCCCAGGGGATGTCTTCCGGCCACCACACTGGCTTGCAGCTCTCCTTTCCCCAGCCAGGCTTCCCTCTGCCCGTGGAGTACTTCAACATCTCTGGGATGAACGCCCGCAGTTGGGCCTAAGGCAAAACATAGAAAAGGAATGGGGAGAGAGAAGGAAGTGCTTTATTGTGGAGCTGCTGCGTCTGTCTGACACAGTGGAGCGCGCACGCCCTTGAGCAGGCAGCCGGAGACGCGTATTGATTCGAAATCTTCTGCCGAGGGTGCTGAGGTGGTCAATGCCTCAAATAGAAACACGCTTTCTAAAAGGAGGATGTGTGTATAAAGAGGCCAATCTATGGACGTGACGCCAGCCTGATGTGCCAGACGGCCACCATGAGAACCTCTGGGCTGAGTCCAGCAAAGCCTCCTCCACACTAACCACAGGTATCCTACGGGCACGGAGGTCATACCGATACAAAGTAAATCAAATGAAAAGAAGACTGGACTGAGGTGTGTCTCTGGATATTTGTCCACTGCATTTAAGAAGAAGAAATAAAGAGAGAAATGACGAAATAAAGTAAGAAAAACAAATTATGAGACATAAGCAATTCAATGTAAAGGAGGGGCGTTTAACGTTTTGTGCTGGAGCTCAAACAGGAAGCTCAGTGATTGGTAATGTCTCTTATCCATGTTTTAACAGTAAATCATCATCTGCAGATAATCTCCTAATAATCTTCACATATATTCACCTCATCAGCCTTTTCAGAGCACAAATGCACTCACAATGGCTAGCATGCTGTGGTGGGGTTTAGTGCCAATGTCCTCAGTGTCCTAGTAATATGCAGGCATCACTGGGGGATTATATTACACAATGAAGCACTGCAGCGTCTGCCTACCTTGACATCGCGGGCTAAATTTGGTTCCGGGAGAAATAAATCCCTTCCGCCCTCCCATTAGACCCCCTTTCTGTTCACTGTCACAAACCAGCTATGTCTGATTGTCGGTGCATCACGCAGAGACGATAAAATGCATCTTGTGAGAAAATGGCTCGTAATTACAACAGCCTTTGGAAAACAGAAGCTGCATCGAGCAGCTTCAGGAGCGGAGCTCCATTTCTGCAAACAGTTGGACGGCAACTTGGATTAATCAAGGACAGGGACTTAGTACAAGGGGATTCTTGCATTTCCACCTGTGGGTGATGTGGATATATGTATGTGGGCCCAGATGGCCTAATTACAGTGGCTAGTTAGTTAAGTGGCATGTTGCCCTAACGCCGACCACCCCACCCCCATTCCTAATCCTCAAAGCAGTGGTCCAATCAGAGTATAGTAAGGCCGCTATGTTGCTGGGTCCCTGAACCTGACAAAGCTGGAGGGTAATTATGGGCTCAGGCTAGACCAGGATTCACCTGCTGCAGATGCTCCAAAACCTGACAGGCAGGGGTTTCTGTCTGCCTGCAGCAGATGTCTGAGGAGGGACCTTAAGTCCTCCCGATATGAATCAGGAGAACTACATTTGAATGAGCTCCTCTGCGTATCACTTCTAAGCGTCCCAGGCTACATCTGTCTTTCCATGAAGGATGAGACAACATCACCTTTGCAACACATGGCGCACACAAACCCTGGGATCTATAACAAATAAATAAAAAACCCACACCGTTCCATTTGGCTTTGCTTTGCTGAGTGAGGCAACAGGTTACTCATGATAATCTCAGCCTACAACCTCCAGAAAAACAAGCATCAACTAACACCTGCCCTCTAAGGATTTATGGGGCCTGGGATTGGACACCGCGCTCCCTGGGCTGGGGACGCTCCCTGAGGGCCACTGTCATGCCGGATTCTGTGACGATGATCCACAGAGTGCGTCACCAGCACGGGTACGGCAGAGTAAACAAGCCGGGCTCCCCTGGGCGAACAGAGGACTCAGGCTGCCAGCGGCACTACTGCAGTGAAAGGCCGGAGGAGAGCGGCCTCCTCTCCTCTCACCGACTTGAAAATACCTTTTTCCCGATTCTGACCAGCTCCAGAACTGGACTACCTCACCCAACACAGATTAATCATATCTATTAAGACATAAAAACACAGCACTTGACCTTGACAAATATAACTGACTAAGCTGTGGTTCCTAAAACTATTTTCAATGTTCTCCTTTGTTGGCAGCTGGCGCCCTCTGCTGGGAGCACCACCCCTGTGTTTTTTTATATGGATGCTATGCATGAGTGTTATCCTTCATGTACAAAGAGCCTCACCTGGGTCATCTTATCCACAGAGACGGGGATGCCGTCAATGGTGAGAGGGGGCAGCTCCGACGCCAGATCTCCACCGGCAGGGGCGTGCTCGGCCAAGGCGTTCTCCAGGTCCTCCAATAATATGCTTTTATACTTTCTGACCTGGTCAGGTAAGGAGAGGGACATCAGTAACAAAGAGGTTAATGGACAGAAAACAAGTTTGTACAGCCACTTTGAAAAAGAAAAGAAAAGCACTCACCACATTCTCCAGTGGAGCTGCGCCAAACACTTTGAAGACGGGGTTGGGTTTGGAGGGCGAGATGCACAGCACTATGGCCTGCTGGCCCACCCGGGTGGTGTACTCATCCAGGGTGGCTCGTAGCTTCCTGTCAACACATACCATCTTTTACTCCCCCCTTACAATACATTTATTACAAAGCTGTTATTAAAGGAGTTATTAAAATTGGAAAAAGTATTCAAAGCATTGAGGAAAGCCCCACCTGAGCAGACGGGTCTGCTGCCTCTTGCGGATGGAGGGATTGGACTCAAAGATGTGAGGCCTCTTTCTTTTCTTCCCGGTGGCTACAGCAGCTGCTGCTGCCATGCCTACCGGTCCTGAGAGGAGATCACAAGGGCTGCTTTAAATTACATGAAAATAAGCTATTCAGAGATGACAAGCTTCCCTCATGTCTCTGTGTTTTCTCCCTCCTGCTTTGTCTCTTTTGATTGCTGAATATTTAGCACATGTGATTAGCATTAGCAGCTTTCTGGCTCTATTTCCTAAAGTTTACAGAGAAAGTCAGCCAGGAGGCAACACATGGGAGCTTTGCCCACCCAATGTGAAGTCCAACAGCATCACCTCCTGTTCACCTGTGAGCACTGCACAAAGCCTCACTGGAAAGGTGACATCAGATCCACGAAGAATCTCAGTAAAACTCAGTAGTTGTTCTCAAATGTCATTTATCAAATACGCCACGCTGCTGCTTTTGTAAAAACCAGCAAATGCCAGCCACAGGAGGTTGGTGTTACCTGCAGCTGCCAGGTGAGCGGTGACCTCATCGGTGCCGGTGGAGTTGAGGATGTCCGTGTCATCGTACGGGTCATCATCCGGCGAGGACGTCGAGTCTTCCTCAGCACTCATCATTGAGGCCTCTGTGAAGGTAGCCACATGTACCTGGGCAAAAAGAACCAATCATGTCAAATAGGTTTGAATTATTAAAACACCAACTCTACTTGTGGGGAATTATCCCACTAATCCGGTCTAATAATCTAACCAGCTGCTACATTAGTTAATGAAACCTGGAGTTACAGGCACAACACAGTAACGCTGTATGTTCATAAATCATCATTTCCAAAATTTAATTACGATGCTCAGAAGTACAGCTGCTGCACCTGCTGGCTGACGGCGCTGGCCTCAATGGTGGTCATGTGCTCCGTCTGGTGAACAGCGTGCTCCTCCATTATCAGCCACCTGGTCTAAACTGCTAGGTCCACAGTACAACTGCGGAGCAAAAAGTGATACAGCACAACACAGTGACAAGGGTCCATTCATAGCAGCATTAGTCCTGAATTCTTTCTAACCATTATAACAGGATGAGCTGATAAGCAGCTGTTCTTTGATGGAAATTCTCAAAAGCTCTGGGTTTCGTGCAGAAGAGGAGCAGTTGAAAGCCCGTGTTGTTAACGTGCTAACTCGTTTGATTTTATGAAGAGGGTTACTCAACTGATCTGCTCACTGGCAGGTTCTCCTCAGCAGGCTGAGTGTCTCTCTTTTAGCTCCTCTAAGGCTGAGAATGAAGTTGCTACTTAAATTATTTCTTAATCAACAGAGTTGATGTTAAAACAAATTCATTTAGATTTTTTCCTCATTTACAAGTAACAAAATCAAGGTATGTCACAGGTTTATCACCCCGGGACAAGCAGCTGGACTGGTGCTTATTCTGTCTTTAATGTAAGAACAGCACCCGGCATGCTGAGATGTTTTGATCATGTCGTGGCTCCTAAAGACTTACAAATGATACACCTCTGCATCCTGAAATTTTTAAACATTCCCTCATCTCTGGATATTTTGGGGACCGTGGTCACAGGTGAGATGAATCCTGAGAGTCATTTCGTGTTCACGGGCAGTAGGGTGAAGCACCGGGGTGACGAATAAAAGAAATTCATGGATTTAATAAGTCTTTAGCATGGTTGCTCTGCATGCCTCGACCCAATCGCAGGACATGCATTTCCCCCTTTTTAATAACACTTCAGGTACACGTTGTGAAGTGACTGCACCGCCGCACTCAGCCTGCAGGGGGCGCCAATGTTCCAATTGCTACATTTAACACGTGATTCATTTGTATGCTTTAGGATTTCCACAAACTTAGTGACATCTCAACTTATAAGTTATATATATACACAAGTTATCTTTTGTACTTCGAATAGACGAGGTTGGCTCTTTTATTTGGAGTTAATAATAATACAACAGAAGGGGACAGATAGCATCTGAATTCCAAGCAGTGAATCTGTCATATGTGTATACCAGGTTTATTGCAATACATGCAAAAATGGACAAAAATAAAACAGACAAAAGATAACTAATGTTACACAGTTCATAACAAAATTGAGTCCCGAGTGACAATTTGTACACACCACCACATCTGGGTTCTGTGGCCTATAAACATAATACAAATATACACTATATTGCCAAAAGTATTTGCTCACCTGCCTTGACTCACATATGAGCTTAAGTGACATCCCGTTCCTAATCCATAGGGTTCAATATGACGTCGGTCCACCCTTTGCAGCTAGAACAGCTTCAACTCTTCTGGGAAGGCTGTCCACAAGGTTTAGGAGTGTGTTTATGGGAATTTTTGACCATTCTTCCAGAAGCGCATTTGTGAGGTCGCACACTGATGTTGGACGAGAAGGCCTGGCTCTCAGTCTCCGCTCTAATTCATCCCAAAGGTGTTCTATCGGGTTGAGGTCAGGACTCTGTGCAGGCCAGTCAAGTTCATCCACACCAGACTCTGTCATCCATGTCTTTATGGACCTTGCTTTGTGCACTGGTGCACAGTCATGTTGGAAGAGGAAGGGGCCAGCTCCAAACTGTTCCCACAAAGTTGGGAGCATGGAATTGTCCAAAATGTCTTGGTATGCTGAAGCATTCAGAGTTCCTTTCACTGGAACTAAGGGGCCAAGCCCAGCTCCTGAAAAACAACCCCACACCATAATCCCCCCTCCACCAAACTTTACACTTGGCACAATGCAGTCAGACAAGTACCGTTCTCCTGGCAACCGCCAAACCCAGACCCGTCCATCAGATTGCCAGATGGAGAAGCGCGATTCGTCACTCCAGAGAACGCGTCTCCACTGCTCTAGAGTCCAGTGGCGGCGTGCTTTACACCACCGCATCCGACGCTTTGCATTGCACTTGGTGATGTATGGCTTGGATGCAGTTGCTCCACCATGGAAACCCATTCCATGAAGCTCTCTGCGCACTGTTCTTGAGCTAATCTGAAGGCCACATGAAGTTTGGAGGTCTGTAGTGATTGACTCTGCAGAAAGTTGGCGACCTCTTCGCACTATGCGCGTCAGCATCCGCTGACCCCGCTCCGTCAGTTTACGTGGCCTACCACTTCGTGGCTGAGTTGCTGTCGTTCCCAAACACTTCCATTTTCTTATAATACAGCTGACAGTTGACTGTGGAATATTTAGGAGCGAGGAAATTTCACGACTGGATTTGTTGCACAGGTGGCATCCTATCACAGTTCCACGCTGGAATTCACTGAGCTCCTGAGAGCGACCCATTCTTTCACAAATGTTTGTAAAAACAGTCTGCCTAGGTGCTTGAATTTATACACCTGTGGCCATGGAAGTGATTGGAACACCTGATTCCGATAATTTGGATGGGTGAGCAAATACTTTTGGCAATATAGTGTAGCAACTGAATGAGCATGCCAGTGGATATGTTGTAGAAATGGTTAATACTACAAGTGTAGCTCTTTCACAGATTTAACAGAGAGATTGAGGACATTTGTTATCACATATAATAAGGTTTTTGTTAATCAAACCCCCAATATCAATTGTACAGTAATACATTTGGGGATTATTAAGTAAAAGCACAAGGAGGCAATGATGTCCATGGATAGTTCATAAATCGTTTACACAACACTTCTTTTTAACTTCAGAGTAGAGAGATAATTAAAGCTCGTGTAAAGCAGCCAGTGTTATTTCTCAATCGTTACGGTGGTGTAATATTAGCCGATCTGCCGACTGGACATCAACGACTCTTCAACACAGCTCTGCTAGCAATGTCCTACGTTCGGCTAATTAGCTTCCTAGCTAACAAAATGTTCATGTACAATACATAATCTAAATAGTATTAATTATATTAGCGAAGAACAGCAATTTCTTAACTTCGAGTCATTAAAACTAAACTACGTTCACTGTGTCCAATGCGAGGGAAAATCCACACTAACACGGCAGCTAGCATAAAACCCGCGCAATATGAAACAAAACAGAACGCTACGGCGGGCCGAGAGGCCTGCAGCTCATCCACTGCTATTCCACTCTATGAGCTTATTGTCGATAGGCGCCAACAACACGAATCCCCACAAAAAGCGGCATATGTTGAATATTAGCGCTGCAGCAAACGCCTAAGCAAACGGCATTTTTCGCACGAACGCTGCCGGGTTCGATGATGCGGCTGCGCCGGGGTTGAAATAGATGGAGAATGCGCGGTAGGGCACTAACCTCAGAGCGGCTGCGCTACTTCGGGCCTGCGCCGTACAGCGGGGATGGAGCCGGGCTTTAATGGACGACAGAGGGGAGCCAGCACTAAACACAACGAGCAGGGCGCACACAACACTGGTCTGCACTAGTGATGCCTTCAGGTGCTCCTCCCGATCACTAAATTCAAGAGTCAGTGTAACACATCTGCTAAAAGCTATAAAAGTCAGACCAACAGGCGGAAATTAATAGCACAATACTCGGTGGATATTGTTTCATTTCCATTTCCCTAACAAGTGACTGGGCGATAAATGAAAATCTGTAATAGGGGACAAGTTCATTTAACCGTAGTTTAGGAATAGTTTGCTGATCCTCAAGAAATGTTTATATTGGTAGACCAACATTTTTCAAGTTAAATTTGGATGAATTCAGTGATTAGTTCTTTTCCACTTTAAAACAGAAATTCTTTTAGAAAGGTTTTGGGCCGTAAAGGGTGCTTAAATAACCTGCAGCAAGTGAATGCCACATGTAGACCTTGGAAACCACGCCCCTGTCTGCAAACAGTGGATTCAACTTCTGCAGACGTCTCGTGAATGTTAAACTACTGAATAGTAGTATAAGTACCGAAAAAGGGAACAAAAGGTTATAACTCAGTGCAGCACCAGTGCAAAAGAAAACAAACAAAGAAAAAAACTATTCTTGGCTGAAACAAATAGTTTTGGATACCTTAATTATCAACACCTGGGTCATTAAGGCAATTAAGACATCTCAACGTGAACGTGTGGATACTTTCACAGGTTAGTGTACTCCTTTTTATTTGTGTTTTCATTTCTTTTAAAAAAAAGGTTGCTACAACATCACACCATTATCTAAAAACTGTTTTAGGTATGAAGCGGGATTAAACTTTTAAATTTAGATTTGGTTTTGTATCAACAAGGGACGAGGACTTATCAAGCTTGAGAGGAACAAGGAACAAGAGAAATTGGACTTGCATTTATTCACCTTTTTAGGCTGAGCCTTTAGACCATAAGTATAGTAATTCATACATGAATAAATAAATCATAACTCTGATCAGGTGTTTTCTAATTGTATTTGTTATCAGATTCTGATATTGAACACTGTTCCTTGTTCATGTATTTAAAATTAGCTTACGTGGACAATCATCTCCTTACCAGAAGAAACTGACCAAAATGTTCAGTCATTTATGACATCTGTCCAGTTTTGACCACAGTCACCTGACTATTAAAGAATAACTGGACTGCCCTAATACTGTGAACCTGACCTTGTTGTTACCCTGAACAGATTTGAAGAACATGATATGGGATGTACCACTCCAGCTGATCAGACAAGCTACAAAATTGAAGTAGACAGAAAGAATGTGGTAAGGGTCTGTTTTCTGTCTTATCTCTTTATTATTCAAGAAAGTATGTTTCTCCTATTGTATACACTTTAATCTAGGTCCTCACGGGGGCAGCGTTGCATTATAAATACAGTAGTTTTTGGCACTTGGTTGTAGTCACTTGTGACAGGAGGTGGCAGTAAGGGAACACGATACGGCTCTCTCTAGGTGCCCTGGCATCTATTCAAGATGATGGATGTTTTACATTAGTGTGTGATGACAGCAGCTTATGTCTGTGTCTCACTAAATGTCACCAACTATCATATTAAAAATGTGGCAGGAGAGCGTTTAGAAGTACGATTACACATTTTACAGCTTCCACACAGTGTAACTGACCTTCCTTCCACTCCGTCTCACCGCCATCCGTCTGTCTGTCACTGTTTTCTACATGAACAGACAGGTGGAGCTGTTTTCATTGACTTGTCTACTATTGTGAGGCAAACATTTGAATTCTTCACATGTTCGCTGCAGAACTTTGTTGACTTGTGTTTTTCTTTGCAAAAAGAAAATCTGTTGTTTGGATATGTTCATTTTAGCATAGTAATGAACTTTCTGATGATGGAGGATGCTGTTGAGGAGCTTTAGTTTGTTGATAAATGGATCACACTCTGTTCTATAGATCAGAAGCTCCCGTTCTTTCATTCATTCACTTTGTTTCTCAAGGGCACTGCATTGTGAAGCAGTTTCGGTTTAGTAGGTGATGGTGTGACATAGATAGAGTGGGAAAGCTAGAGAGTGTAAATGAAACGAGCTCCTATTATGTGGCCTATTCTGCTTTCTCTTCCATGGGCTATGCTTGGGTATAGATAAGACTTTCAGCCCGGGGGTCTGGAATCAATAATGGATGTAATTGGTGAGGTGGAAGTGAGGATAATTGTAAGTAATTGTGTCGACTGTCACAAAGCGTGGGAGAGAGGTCAAGGCAACAAAAAGAAGTAGGAGGTGATTGGGATGGGAAAGGATGCTCATTTTTACCTTAGTCTTACCTCCTGTATACACCATGACATGATTACAACTCCTGACCTGGAGTGTTTTAAAGCTGAAAACAGAGAATATTTTGGTTTTGATTTTGGTTTAATTCAAGGATACCATACAAGGATTTATTACCGTAGATTAGATATATGCAGTCCCACTGTTTAGTTCTTCTTTCTTGAAAACACTAGGTATGTATGGAGTTTGCTTTCTTTTAAGTTATTTTTGGCACCAGCCATAAAAAATGCTCCCTGGTTTCCTAGTTAATATACTATCTAATCCTCAGTATTTTTCTTATTACTCATGGTCAGTTTTTAAAAAGTTTTGCCTTACAAGGAAATAATTTGATTACTCCATTTAGGCCTCCTGGTTCTCTTTCTTTTCTGCTGGTTGCTAAGCAGCCACTTTAGTGAAGGTGCCGGATGCCTGCCTTGCTTAAGAGTGCCGCAGCCGTTGTGTGTTTTTGTGTGTTTAAAGAAAAGCTATCTTAAATTGTTCCACCTAGAATCATTGAATCAGGCAACTGTTAAGATCGAAAGCTACTGGAGTGTAACATCTTAAACATCAATACGTTAGTAGAGGTCAGCGGTAACTGGCATGCTCAGCATTCCTTCTGTGATGTTTATTTGCCTTAAATCGATGTTGTGTGTGCATTTCAAAGAACACAGACTACCAATAGTAAACAAGTACTTTCCGCTGTCTTTGTTGGATATTAAAAATTGAAATGCTTCCCATGGTCAACAGGGGGTACTGGAGTACCATGGATTAACCTTGAAACTCCACCACCCTGGAAATTTAGTGGTTCCAAGCAGAATTATGAACAATTTCATTTATATTTTACTATTAAAAGATTTGCTACGTAGTTCTCAAAGATTTGTGCTACATCCTTTTTAAAAAAATGATATCTACACTATTTGTAGCATTTGCTCTGTAGAGTTCTAACTTGAGAAATAGACCATAACTTTGCTAGTTACGGTCTATTAGGATTTGTCTTTTTTTTTTGTTTTTTGTTTTACCTCTTTCTAAAGCCTTTAGGACTGTTTCAAAAAGATTCCCTCCCACTCATGAGCTCAGATTAATTGCATGCGTTGTAATGGAGATAAAACATTTTATGGCTGAGCAGTAAAATTTCAACTTGTAAACATAATTTGTGTTTTGAAATCATTTGCTGCTTAACTGTGTCAACAAAGATGTGTTGCAAAAGCTTCTGCGTGTAGTAATCCGACTGTTGCTTGGTTACTAAAAGTATTAGTCGATCACAAGGTTAGGAAGTACAGTAGTTTTTCTTGTATTTAAGTTGGGGCATGGATGAGCTTACAGGTAGCAATGGTATTTGTCTTTGAGGTTTTAGTCGTGATGCATTACAGCCCATAAATAGCACATTTACAGAAGCATGTTTCCATAACGCTGACAAAAGACAAAGAAAATAATGAATAAATAAACAAGTATTCCATTAGCCTGGCAAAATTCTGACTTCTGAAATACATATAGTTTTGCCAGTTGGACAAAAGCTGATCCAAATTGAGCTTCTTAAAACCATTTTCAATTTGTCTCCACACCTTAACAGAAGTAATATTGAAAATCAAACTATTCAGAGACGCTGCAATATTGAGGATTCTGAATAAACTTGCGGAACCTGTCTTGTTGTGTTTAGCAGTAAATGATTTTTCAATTGGTAAGCAGATGTTTGACTTTTTGTGAGTATATTTCAGCAGAAATGGCCTTGTAAAGGGACTTCAAGCATTGACTGAAATCCGTGACTCACAGTAGTTTACAGTATCCCCCTAAAGGGCACTAAATTACCCCCAAAATAAATTTCTTTTTAAGTTTTTGTTCTTTTTTTCTATTTTTGTGAAATTATCATTTCATGATAAATAGATTTGTTGCTTCCTATTTCAAATAAAAAAATATTGCTTAAATATTGGGAGAAGGGCTTATTTTGATGCAGTTGACTCCCTCATTAGTGGCAGTTTTGTCCGTCAGCTTTCTGACTTCCTTTCTTCACCCCTTTAACTGTTCCATTTCAGTGACAGCTGGATATAGAAAGAAATAAATCAGATACTATCTAAGTCGACATGCAGGTTTATGGTTAATACTAAAAGGTTAGTGAAGGTTGTATTTTCACACATTTATAGATTTGTCACAGTGCAATGCAGCATTTTAGAGCTCTTTTACCTAACAGAGCAACTTTTGCTATTAAACAGGTCTTTCTGGTGTATGCCACACCTTCAGAGCCGTTACTTTTACAGTTAAGTGCGTTTCACACGAGAAGCAATAGCATTATCTCAGCCAAGATTCCCTGCCGCTGATTCATTTGAAGCAGGAGAAAAAGTGCTGACGAGGGGTGAAAAGTAACTCTGTTTTTAAAGGCCAACCACTCTGGCTGTTTGTATATGTGTGTGTACTTGTGCTGTCCTTGCTCTAATTGACCAGCTGTGGCTACGTGTCCTGCCTCCGTAAAGCCCCCATTGATCCCATTGCCATTTCACAACAGGCCTTATTGCTTTGCTTGTAACCTCTGTTCCAGTCGACTGTAACAGTTCAGAAGGGGAAGAGATGCCGATGTTAAGAACTGTGATTGCAGAGGCAGCGAGAATAGTAGAATTACAGTCTTAGATTGAAGTGGTGAAAAGGGGAGGGGGGGTGTCAGCTATAAAGGACATACTATTGCGATGATGAAAAAGATTAGTTTGTTCCGTCCTGTTATGGATGGATTATAAATGACATTCACTGACTCATTGAAAGTGATTCATTTTAGGAATTAGACCTAAAGCTTCTTGATACAGTTCAAGAGTCCAGCAGCTGATAACAGGTCAAATCAGCCCCTCCAGTTACCAACAATTAAAACAGCAAACAGAAAAATGTACCAGAGTTAGCAGTTTTTAAACTGGTCATTTTCTCAGTTTAAAAAAACAATCTCATTAGGTGATGATGATTTGTCAAGGTGGAGCACACGTTCGAGATATCAAGTATAACTTGAAGATCTGGATTTGGTTTGGTCAAGAACCATTTCTCAC